TATTTCCTTCTTTCCTTCATATATATATATATATATATATATATATATATATATATATATATATATGTTTGGTGGATGCTAAAGAACAGAAGCAGAAAGTAGGGAATTTTGCATGAATGACCTGTTCGTTTTTCACGGCCGTCGTCATCGATGTTTTTGCGAAAACCATCGTCAACAACCTCAAGAGCTGAAGCTGAGTTGTAAATGGTGTTCTTCTGCAAGTCTGCGTCCATTTGTGTGGTGTGTGTGTGGTTTCACAAGGGAGAGGAGGGGGGGATTTTAAGGGGAGAAAAGGCCAAGATTTTGAGATTTAATATTAATAAATAAATAAAAGGAATATTAATAATATTATTATATTAAATAAAAAGAAATTGAAAATGAAGGGAGGGTAGACAACAAGAGTCAGCGGATAGTCATAAGTGAAAACAGTAGTCAAATTGTTTACTCCCCATTTTCAAAGGTGGCCGTTGTTTCCTTGAATTTGTCTTCCTTCACTTTAGAAATTTGTTACACACACACACACACATATATATATATATATATATATATAAGGTTGGGTTTACGTGAGACCAGACTGTTTTTGTGAGACCCTGAGACCACATTTTTACACTTGAAACTTCACAGCAAAGACATTATGAAGGTTTAAAAAAGTCGAACATTCACAACAAAAACACTGTGAAAGTTACCTTCACAGCATTTTGCTGTGAAGTTTCAAGTGTAAAAAGCTGGTATCACTGGTCTCACGGGTCTCACGTGATCCCAAGTATGTATATATATATATATATATATATATATATATATGGTTGAGTTCACGTGAGACTAAAAGTTTTTCGTGAGACCCACAAGACCAATTTATGTTCATTGATCAACTTTATAAGCTAATGATCTGATAGTCTAAAATTGTACGGTGACAATTTTGTGATTATTGAGAAGTCTAGTGGCAATTTTGTGATTATGAATGTTCAGATTGTAAATCTAATCCAAGGATTGAGAATTGATCTTATGGGTCTCACGAAAAACCCTTGGTCTCACATGATACCAAGTATATATATATATATATATATATATATATATATATATATATATATAATGAGAGTTAAGATGAGAAACATAAGAAAAGATCTGGATCCTTGATCACCTTTAATCTCAAATCCACCAGTAAATCGCGTTTGATATGGTGATTGATCGTTGCATCTCATCCTATTATGCATTCAATGATGAAGATTCCTTCTTACGTTTCTCTTTTTAACTTTTTTTTTCTCACTATATATCTTGATTAATTAAGTAAATTTATTATACGTAATGATAAAATAACCAAAAGAGAGTATGTGATTAATTGATGTTTTATAAGGATAAAAGAAATAAATATTGGTTGAAAACGTTATGACTGCATACGATATCGATATTATATATCAATCAATTATAATTAGTATCAACGACTCTATATTATGTATCAACTGACTTCATTGGTAATTGATTATTAATCACTCTGACTATTTAATCATTCGGCACCAAATCGTTCAGCAACTGCCAAACAGCCCTTCAGACGGTCTATGTTCAATCATAAATATAGCAAACACAAATATAAATGGCAAGGAACACAAGTCAACTTCAATTTAGGGTTAGAGTTAGGGTTGTTTAGTTGATTATTAAGTATCAATTAATGAGTAAAATATAATATTTTAAGTTTAAAAAAAATTAATAATTAGTAACAAAGTTTGTATGGTTGTATACATCGATATATATATTGGTCCAATTTAATTTGTATGATTGATATGTTATATATGGAACGAAATTAAGAGCATCTTGAACACAGATATTTTAGTGATTTTTTGTGTTAACTTTTTGTTTCAACAAATTTTTCAAATATCTTTAGAAAAATAAAATAGTTTTTTTTTATTATATTTCTATCAATAAATAATTCTGAAATTAAATATTCACCAAAATAAATAATATTTTAATTATATAATTAATATTATAATATTAAAAACAGAAAAGTTATTAAAGTTTTAAATAATCTCTTGAAAATAAAATATTAAATTTTGGTTTCTTATTTAAAAAAAAGATAAAAATGTGCTAAAATTGATGTCCTACTTTACTTTATTTCTAGTTCTAGTTGTCAAAAAACAACAATGTCTTTTTCCCCAAAAGCTTATTCTTTTCAAATTAATGTATCTTTAAAAAGATAAATTTCAAATTTTTATTTAAATACATCAAATAAATCAAATATTATTTTTATACATAATATATATATATATATATATATATATATGAAAAAAAGGTAAATTCAAGAATAATTTAAATAGGGTGATATTGGTGTTAAAATTATATTATATTCTTGGTTCTCGTGATTTACATGATAGATATATAATATATATACATGTATAAAAAATATCGTCCCCTTCAAGTTCCAGATGAAACTTTTACACGTCGTCATTCCCTTCAGGTTCCATCGACGATAACCATCGACAAACTCCTAGAAATCGTCATCCCCTTCAAGTTCAGATCCATGATCTCTATGTTCCACATCCCTTCTTATATGATCTCCAATTTGAGATCTAGATCCATGGTCCAAGGTGTAACATTGAAATATCTGAAAAAGAACGATTAATTTAAATATTTGATTAAACATATATTGAAGTATAAATTCCTCTTAATATATAATTTAACATCAACAATTTACAAACCAAATCTTGCACAAAGTCTAGGTTAGGGACAATTGTTACTAAATCCAATAGTAGTCACTATCTCTAGAGTACAGAAGACGTCCCAAATAGTTAAACCCCTCATGTGCCTTTGACTAACACTCAACTCTTCAGCAAAGTCGCTTGTACCATTCCCCAACAAGGCCTTCATGCACATGCCGACAAGAAAAAGTGTTAGCCCTAAAGCCATGTGAATTCAAACAACATCTTTTCCAGAAACTTATTATTTTCACGATGAGAACTCCTTGCCCCAAGACACTGATTATAATATGGAACCAAAACCCAATAACCACTCAAAATGTGAATAAACTTAATATCTAAATATTGAAAGCATGTATCCAAAACACTAAAAATATGGACAAGACTTGATATCCAAAACCACAAATTATGAATGACACTCCATATCGAAAAACACCACCTTTCAATGATAGGGGACACCTATTTTCATCGATTCTAGTGAAACACAAAGTAAGTCATATATCAAAATTATCGAGTAGCACCTCAAAATCATGGTCCTTGTGTCTAACTCACACGAGTTTCCACCGTAGTACTCAAGGTCACAGAGTTCCACTCTTTATGAGTTCACTTCCACAATATCCCCAATCTTAGTTCCTACTCACACACAATAGAGTTACAATTTCAGAGGTAATAGTCTCGGGGCCTGACTCCATATAAGTTCATCCCACAATACCCCCAATGACTTAGTGCCAACTTTACTGGGCCAAAGCCTAAAAACCAAGGGTTCTGATGCCTGACTGTCATCACAATATCCAGGGTCCTAAAGTCCAAGTGAACAAAAGATGACCTTCATAACACCTACGGTCATGAGTCTGACTCATAAGAGTTCACCTTCAAAATACTGAGACGACCATAGTGCCTACACAAGTACCGATCGCAAAGTGAGAACATCAAAAATCCCCACTTGTCAAACTCGACCGAATCATATGACTATGGATCCATTGCATAACAGTCTACATTACAAGAATTTATATGAATGACAAACATACCCAAAACATGTAATTTCCAATAAATAATCAATATATGCAAACCATGTTTATATATCACCATATATAATTTAAGTTAGGCAAGATCCCAAAAACTCATTTGAACCAATTTAAGTCAATAAAATGCATTTACTCAGTATTTATGCAAATTAATGCTCCAAAAGTATGATTAATTAGAAAACCCATCACAAGTTAGGATAAATCATCACCAAATGAGAATCATACAATTTATACCTCCAAAACGTCCCATAACTCAATAACATGCATTTTTCAAATATCTACAAAATCAATTACACTAAAAGTGCATTAACATATGCAGTAAATCATCAAAAAACCAAATTCTTATGATTTATTTATCAAAATATCCAAAAACCTTAAATCTATCCATTTCTCAAGATTTAATAAATTCAAATGTGTAAAAGATGCAATTTCGTTAAGTACTCGAACAACATTTGATAAATCTCAAGGAAAACACTTTAAGACTCCAAAATGGATATTGTTGGTCCTGGAAGGGTAGTGACTAACACAAAAATATTTGTAGAAGGGGTGACTACCAACATAACATATTTTTACTTTTTAATTATATATGTTTATAAAACAAAAGAATTACAAATTTATTGTAGAAGTTATAGAGGTAAGACCTTATTCTAAATAATTTGCTTAGTAGAAAATTTACCAGAGATTGGAAAACAGAAGGAAGAAATCTTTTGGACATGAAGAACTGAGATAGTATTCAAATGTTGACACCGATTTTGCTCATGAAACTATTCATTGGTAATTCTTATCAAAATATGTAAGTTCCAGTATTTGACAAGGGTTGCCTTTTATAGCCACCATTGCACTAAATGCTGCTATCCAACTTTAATACGTGTCCTCATCTGATTCGTTGACTAGTACATGTTTATACTATTCATTTCAGCCTTTTGATATTGATATACACGTTTGTTAACACAACTCATTCTTCTGTATGTAGAGGGAACAATAAAGAAAATATGGTACCAATAAAATAATAATTTTAAACTTATTTAGTCTGACATCTAAGCATGTTCCCATACGAGGATTAAGTTTGCAGTAAAAATTCGGCTCGCCAAAGTAGTATTTATCAAACTATTTTTGACTTTATTTTGTACTGATCTTCAAGCAGCTAGATGCTAATCCAATCCATTTTGTTGACTATCTTGGCTTCACTTTAATTAGTCTTTGATTTTGTTGAAGACATTTTGCATTTGGACCAATACATATAATAATAAGACTTTTTCAAACAAAATCCTATTCTAATTTTATTTCTAAAATATAACCCATATTTCGGATTCTAGCAAGACTATAAGACATTCGGATCCTAAAAATCCTTTTGAATTAGAATCAAGATTCGAATTTGGTTAAAATCTAGATCCTTCATTCTTTCAGATTTTTGACTGATTCGGATTCCATTAAGGACAAATCTGATTTACCATACCTCGATACATATCCCAATCTGGATGTTGAAGTCTATCTGAATATGTATCTTAATCTGGATGAGTAGTATATCAAGTATA